GCACTCGTTCCGTTGCATCATCAGTCTGCGGGTGATTGGCAGTTGAAAAGTCCAGGCGAACTCCCAGCTGCTTGAAGACATCACGGTAAAGCTCGGCAGTGAAACGAGGATCACGGTCGCTCACAATGGATTTACTAAGACCGTGTAGGCGATAGACATTGCGCATGCACAGATCAGCCACACCCTGTGCGTCTATAGAAATCTTAGTGGCAACGAAATGGGCTTGCTTAGTTAACCGATCGATGAAAGTCAGAATCGCATCATTACCCTGTGGTGTAGTTGGAAGGCCGGTAATAAGATCCATGCCAATGCATTCCCATGGCGCTTGTGGTACTGGCAACGGCTGGAGACGATTCTCCCTTGGTTTGTCTCCCTTTTTACGCTGGCATGTTCGACATGCCTTCACATACCTTGCGACGAATCTTCCCATTATGGGCCAATAGTACCTCCGAGCAAGTCTCGCATATGTTCGGTCACGCCCTGGGTGTCCCGCTGACAGGCTGTCATGACAGAGGTTGAGCAATTTTCTCCGCAGTGGTCCAGCCGGAATGCAAAGCCTCCACTCAGGGTCATGCTTCAAGTAGAGCTGCTTGCTGGAGGTGTCCCAGTGGTAACGCTGCTGCAGCTGCTTGTCCCGATCATTCAATCCGGTGATAATAGTGCAGCAGAACTTATCGGCTGCATAGCCGCTTGCTAACAGATCTTGGAACTGTTGTTCTTGCCGTACGGTTACCTCGACGCTGGCGATAGACCGGGACAATGCATCTGCGATGTTCTCCTTGCCGGGTCGGTGGACAATGCTGAAATTGAAGTCTGCCAGGAAGTCAATGCACCTAGCTTCCCGTTTAGACACATTGGTCTTGGTGCCTAGATATTTCACACCTTGGTTGTCTGTGATAACTTCAAACCGTTCAAATAGATATAGCTTCCATACTCTCAAAGCGTGGACGACAGCTAGCGTTTCTCTTTCCATTGCTGTGTAGTTTACTTCTTCTGGGCGTAGTCGTCTGCTGCTGTAGGCGACTGGGAGCCAATCACCATCTTCCTGTTGAAGTAAGACACCACCAATGGCTGTATCGCTAGCATCCGTCACCACACGGAACGGTTGTGCAATATCAGCCAAACGCAGAACTGGTGCAGATACAAGTGCTTGCTTCAGCATGTCAAAAGCATTCTGCTGTGCTGAACACCATACAAAACGGGAATGCTTTCCAGTAAGTGTTTCCAAAGGCCGTGCAATTGATGTATATTCCTTAATGAATCGCCGGAAATAATTGGCGAAACCCAGGAATCGACGGATTTCAGAAACAGACTGGTGGCGACCACTCGTCAACAGCTTGCAGCTTCTCCGGATCAGGACCAATTGTCTCTCCAGAGATGATGTGTCCAAGGAACTTCATGGACGGAGCTGCAAATTCGCACTTGGCACGCTTGCAATACAGTTGAGCTTCTTCCAGTGCGGACAGGACACTGTCGAGATGCTTTAGATGCTCGGTCCACGTCCTGCTGAACACGAGAATGTCGTCCAGGAAGACTACGACGCACTTCGGTAGGAATGGACGGAGGACATCGTTCATCAGGCCCATGAATGTTGCTGGTGCATTTGTCAAGCCGAACCCCATCACACGGAACTGGTACTGGCCGAACGGGGTGTTGATTGCGGTCTTTGGTATATCTTGCTCTCTAACTCTGACTTGGTGATAACCCGACATTAGGTCCAGCTTTGAGAAATACTTTGCTCCACGTATGGTATCAAATAGATCGTCGATATTTGGCAGACAGGCTTGCATCTTCACGGTCATGTTGTTCAGAGGTCTCCAGTCGCACACCAGCCTCAGCGAACCGTCAGCCTTCTTAACAAAGAAGACGGGTGCGCCATACGGTGATCTGCTGGGTTTGATGAAGCCGTGCTTGAGCAGTTTCTCGAGCTGTTTCTGCAGTTCTTCGAGTTCTGGCTGTGAGAGACGGTACGGAGGTCGGGAGGGTGGCTTGGCATCAGGATCCACATCAATTTCGTGATCGGTTCTCCGACTCAGCGGCAGGTCCATTGGTAGTTTCTGCGGAAAACAGCTGCCGAGCTTGTTGAGAATCTGCTCGAGTTCGGCACGCTGCTCGTTGTCCACCATTATTTTCATTTCCTTATTGTCACCTTCGCCGCCGTCCCTTATTACACATTCCGCTCCCTTCTTCAGTGTCTTCCGAGCCTGTTTGATACTCATGAATTCTGCGGGGTAGGCTTCATCCGTCTCCGCTGAGGGGGATTGTCGGGTTTGTCAGACACGCACGTCACTGTCACATCACGACCTCTCTCCCGATCGGACAGCGTGACACAGTTATTGGCGAAGTCCACTTGCGGGTTAGTACGAGACAGCCACGGCTTGCCCAGTACTACGTCGTATCCCACCAAGGGTATAACTGTCAGCTGCTCCCAGGATTCGTGGTCTCCGATTTCCAATCGAAGCCGTGGCGTCACAGTCTCACTGAGCAGCTGTCTTCGACC